TTAGGATTCTATTTATCTGTCTGTCTATCTATCATCTATCTCTCTCTCTCTTATAGATTGGACTAGATGACCCTTGGGTTCTCTTCCAACTCTAGGGTTCTATCACTCGATTGTGAGCCACCTCCTAAGGGAAGTAAGGTTGGATAGAAATGCAATTGATGATGATGATGGATGGCCATCTGTCAGGAGTGATTTGAATGCTTCTTGGTAGGGGGTTGGACTGGATGGCCCATGAGGTCACTTCCAACTCTTTGATTCTATGATTCTATGATACAGCGTGATAGAAGGCAATCATATTTGTGGGCCACATCGCCTATGACGATGAAAGTGTATGGTGGGCTAGCCACATTGTCTGAATGCCCAAAGATCACCACCTGCCAAAGCAGTTATTATACTGCCAACTCAAGAATGGAAAACAGAAGGTTGGTGGACAGGAAAAGAGATTTAAAGATGGGCTGTTTCATAGATACCGAGAACTGGGAAGCCCTGGCCCTTGAGCGCTCTAGCCGGAGGTCAGCTGTGATCATCCCTTAGATCCATCCGTAGATCTACGGATGGAACAAATCAAGAACTTTGGCCCAAAAGCAAAGTGCTGGCTACTGGAGCTGATGAACAATTGCACTGTATCCTGTCAGATCCCCAAAATCTGGAGGAAAGCAAGAGTCATCGCCATCCTTGAAGCCAGGCAAATATCCGTAATGACCCAAAAAGCTACAGACCGTTGTGCCACCTCTACAAAGTTCTGGAGAGACTCATTCTGCATAGAATTATGGAAAATATAGACCCATGTCTGATTCCACAGCAAGCTGGCTTCAGGAAAGGCAAAAGCTGCACATCGCAAGTGCTTAACCTGACTCAGCACATCGAAGATGGCTTTGAAAGGCAGCAGATCACCGGAGCTGTCTTCATAGACCTGTCAGCAGCCTATGATACTGTGAACCACCTTGGCCTCCTCCTGAGAAAAATGTATAGTATCACAAAGGACGACCACCTCACCCGCCTCATAGGAAACCTGCTACAAAACAGGAGCTTTTTTGTTGAGTTCCAGGGCCAGAGAAGCAGATGGCGGAAACAGAAGAACGGCCTGCCTCAGGGGAGCGTGCTTGCTCCATCCATGTTCAACATCTACACAAATGACCAGCCACTGCCAGAAGGGACAGAGAGCTTCATCTATGCTGATGATCGTGCCATTACTGCTCAAGCAGGGAGCTTTGAGATGGTAGAACAGACCCTCTCCAAAGCTCTAGGTGCTCTTACTGCCTATTACAGGGAAAACCAGCTGATCCCTAATCCATCTAAAACA